CCTAGACCACGTCCAAGGCCTAGACCAAGACCAAGGCCACGTCCTAGACCAAGGCCACGTCCTAGACCACGTCCAAGGCCTAGACCAAGACCAAGGCCACGTCCTAGACCAAGGCCACGTCCTAGACCAAGGCCACGTCCTAGACCAAGACCAAGACCTAGACCACGTCCAAGGCCTAGACCAAGGCCTAGACCACGTCCAAGACCAAGGCCAAGACCAAGGCCAAGACCAGGAACGTGCGGTGGTTGAATATAGCTATTACTGAAACAAGTGGCAACAATGTAAACGATGCGTAGATTAGACAATAAAGCAGTGGGAACATTCTATTGATCTTGTATAATGATATTATAATAATTTTATTAGCTTTTATTTTCAACAGACGATATGCATTTTGGCGATATTTTACTACCTTTACCAGAATGCTCTGGGTTACCTGTGCTCCGCTGATTGTCTATGATTTTATCGGGATACCTGTGTTAAGCATTATTTCCGGGGCCTACCCTCGCGTGTGTGGATGTTACTAATGTGACTGTTGTTAGTGTTATAAAGTGAAGATGGTCGTTTTGTTGAGATTTGGTGTTTTGAATGCATTTATACTTTCCATGATCGCTTTGCAGACTTGTTCGAGTGAAGGTAAAGTGATCAGCGCTTGATTTTAAAATATATTATAAGCTTAGTTCACTTACTTTGAAAGGTATTAAGTTCTCATTCGATATAGCGTTAGTTTTTATGTCCTAGATATTTGCAATAGTTCTCAACCAGAAAGCACTTCTAAAAGCTCAATCTCCTTATTTTTACTTGGTATTTATCCTAAAATATGATTTATAAACGATTTGGTGACACGAGAAGCTTTCTGCAAGCACTCTATCATCACGTACACTGACCTGTAGGATAAAAATAGAAAAATATGCCATGCCTTGGTGTCCTTATAATAGAGGTGTACATAGGGAAATAATTTGTGTTTTTCAACCCAGTTTTCCCTCATAAGATGAATGACTTAACCACAGGAGTCCAACGTGTTGTCAGTTGTCAACTTGACACATATATGGCTATGTTTTGATAATAAATAATATAGAATAAACTATTTCTTTATTACAGAGAGAGATATCGTATATGTTTCACAGAGTAAAGGCAATGACATTCTGATCCTTCATGTGGTAAAGTCTCAATACCATGTAAGACAATTGTGGCTGGAGTGTGGCATGCAAAGCATGGTGGGATAGTCTATGTAGATGGTACTGGGTCAYACACAACACCTTATACCTGCAAATCAACCGAATTAAAATTTTTAGGAATTCRTGCCAACAAGAGTCTGGAAATAATTGGTGTTCAGTCAATGGTACACATCAAATGTGATCCAAGTTATGATATAAGACTTGATAAGTCTCACAAGAATATAACGATTTTTACTGTTAGYAATATCAAGTTTATCAATACAACAATACATGGACAAGATGTATATCTGTATGTCAATGACTGTATATTTACTAGTGGTATTCAAGCATTAARTCTCATCCAGTCTACCAGGCCAACTACYATATCATTTAATCGGTCATTATGTGTCAATATTAGTTCTTGTATAGCAGTCAGTGTAACAGCAAATGATGTAACCATTTACATAATAGACAGTGCTGTGTTTATATCACGATGGCACTATCCAACTACTGCATCTCCTGCAAAGGCATCTGGGATACATGTGACGTCAACAGGACAATATGCAGTTGGGTCAATTATATGTCACATTGCACTTCAAAATGCCACTTTCAAAGACAACTCCCTTGGATCAAAGGGTTTGATATTTGTTAAAATAGAAGGTGCTCTGACATCCATGACAYTTRAGAAGGTTTTCTTCCTGGATAATTATTATRCAGGCATCCTGACTAGTTCGAAGAGAATTAATTTGATTAATGTATTGAGTAGTCATAATTTATATATGACTCTAAGCAATACTACATTTGATCAAAATTTCCATGTTTTGAATCGAGCACTTGAACTGACTGTGAGCAATAGMATCACACTTTTCATCATAAAAACCAGGTTCACAAATTTCACAGCAGAGCAGGTTAGTAATATCCTGTCCCTGACTTCCAACAACAATACTATCCTACACATACAAAATGCAACGTTTGAAAGCAACTCRGCACGGAGCATGGGYGGATGTTTATCTTTGATYAGCCAAACAGCAACAATTAATATAAAAGATTCATTGTTTATCAACAACTATGCTGGTAATTGTGCTGGGATTATGTGGTTGGATGTCAAAYACCAAGTCAACCTGACAATTGAAGGCTGCTTGTTCAAGTCCAATAAAGTAGAAGGTCCTGGTGGTCTTGCAAGTTTTAAAACTGRTAATKTGAATGTGAAGATGATCAACTCTATTGTTAATGGAATCTCAGCTTCTGGTCCTGGGGGTGTATTGGACATGATGACACGTTGTAGAGAAAGTGAACAAGTCCCTGCAATTAAACACTTATCAATACTTTTTGATGGTGTAACTATAAAAGGATGTTCTGCAGCTCTTGTTCCAGGTGGGGTGATAGCTATGAATGCTATCAATTCTTCTATAGTGATAAAAARAACCATCATACGAGATATATCAGCAGGAGGTCCAGGAGGAGTTATTTWTGCAATCAGTGGGTTTTCCAAGTTACCATCCAAATGGACCCCACAAGGTGTGATGAAGCTTAATCTAGAAAACGTTTTAATTGACTCAGTGTCTTCAAATGCACCGGGGGGTACTCTATACATTGGACAGTCACCTATTAATGCGGTGATAACGTTCAACAACTCATTATTCAAAAACAGCAGTACGCATTCTGCACTGGGAGGTGTGGTATATTTGTCTCCGAAGTCAATTCTAAACATATATAACTGTGTATTTGAATCAAATAYCGCAGCTGGTGGTCCAGGGGGTGTCATTGAGTCTGCTTCATTAACACTTAMGATAGTCGATTCTGTGTTTAAATTGAATACTGCAAAAAAGAGTCCCGGGGGTGCTATCAATTGTGATGGATCATTAAACTTAAGCATCACTAATTCTGTATTCAAGTCGAATTCTGCACTTGACAGCGTGGGCGGGGCGATCAGTGCCAGTTCTGTATCATTTGTTTACATAAACAATTCTGTGTTTGAGTCGAATCGAGCTTTTWCGCCAGGAGGATGTTTATATCTKSAAATGGATAACGCTGACGTGCTAATGTATAATGTGACGTTTMGAAACTGCTCAAGTTTACRTGCTCYGGGAGGAGGTGTATACTTCTCGGGTGGAGGAAGAAGCAACATCGTACTCGAATCTTGTAAGTTTCTCAGAAATACAGCACCACGAAGTTTAGGAGGAGCGATCGCAGTCGATCTATCAAACAACGATGATATAATGGATCCTGGATGTCTTGATGACACTGTCCAACATGATAACGTCAAACATCGAATATGGACYTATAACACATCAATCACCATAACAGATTCAACATTTATCAAYAATGCAGCAATGAATGGAGGGGCGTTGTATTTGTCCCGGGGTAACCACACSCTCCGACGATGTTCYTTTCTTGATAATTTTGCAAWTCTACAAGGCGGRCATATTTATATGGGGTCCGATTCTACGAGCCTGCATGTAGACGACTCTGTCCTTAAGCAACGAADTCCCAATATAACAATATATGATTTACCGACAAAAGTAACTTTCGGCTCAGCGAATGGATTGTTTGTTAATTCTCAAAGTATGGGTCCTTTAACAATACTGAACTCCACTTTGTCATGTGAWACACCRTGGCAACAAGGGACTAAATCCCTAGTAACGGTTTCCAAGGGTAACTACGTTAACTTTGGTGAAAATAATTTGACAGTTCTTACATGTCCAAGAGGAAACAAATTAGACATTTTAAACTTCACGACTGAAATAAACACCGAGTACCATTCCCACAAATGTAAGGTTGTTTTAATCGTTTTACAAGTCACTTGCAATCCTTGTGGGACTGGTACCTACAGTCTTCAGCACGGCCAAAGCCTGGGAATGGGTCCAGTGAAGGGTTTCAAGTGTTTAAAATGTCCATTTGGAGCTGATTGCAGTCGTGCAATAATTGCAAAGTCAAACTTTTGGGGATTCACAGTCGTGGATAATCCCGTAGAGCTGAATTTCACCCTTTGCCCTACCGGGTATTGTAAAAARCCCGACCAGAGGGAATCAATTGTTAGYTTTAACAGTTGTCATGGCAACAGGACGAAAACACTATGYGGTAAATGYAGGGAGGGCTATAGTGAAACTCTTCTTTCACCATCCTGTCGCCATGACGAYGAATGCAACGACAAGTGGTTATGGGYTGTGTTGATTATMATGGTGACGTTAATGGCGTTCTACTTGATCCACAAACCAGCGATTTCACGGATATTCAATTGGCAAAAAGTTTTATGTTTTTTGTATCGAGGTAAYAAAGGAGACTACAACGCTGGTGGGTATTTGAAGATAGTGTTCTACTTCTACCAAGTGGCTAATCTTCTTCTCGTTGCCACATCGTATGATAGTGTAATGGAGTCCTATCTTCTTCAGCCAGTAGTAGGAATTTTTAATTTTCAATTRCGTTTTTCCTCAAACGGTGTCCTTTGTCCATTTCCTGGTCTTACTGCAGTAACTAAACAGCTTCTYTTTGCCAGTCAAGTATTTGGTGTTGTAATCATGATTGMGATATGGTACATCAGTCATTGTCTACTTCTCAAGTGCAGATCCAGACCACCTCCAAACGCTGGGTCATACCTTGGTGCTACCTTGGAAACGCTGTTGCTTGGATAYGGTGTTTTTGCATACACTGCTCTTCAGTTGTTACGCTGYACGTCATTAGGTGATGATTCACGGCTGTTTATYGATGGAAATACGCCTTGTTTTCAAGGATGGCAGTATGCACTCATGGTTTTTGTTGGTATTGTTGTTTTTCCATTCATCTTTGTCCTTGCACTTGGTTCCCACTGGCTGCACAASGAAACTATTTCTGTTAAGGAGTTTCTGTTTGGATGTTTTCTTCCTCTTCCTTACTTAGCGTGGAAGTTGCTTTTAGTWTGTTGTCATAAACCTCGCCAAYCAAGTCAAGAACCACTAGAATGGAGAACTKCAGTTACTAATGTACTGTACGGTCCCTTTAGGGCTCCACAAGACACTAGCCATGGTGCTGGGTACTGGGAAGCCATCCTGATATCCAGAMGACTTGTAATCATTTTAATATTTGTTTTCGTTACTGATCCATTGTCCAAGACTTTCCTGCTAACATTGGCTTGTGTAGCMGTTCTCTTTCATCATACCGTTGTACAACCATTTCGTAGCAATTTTGCAAACATCACTGAAATGATTTCCTTGCTCAGTTTGGTTGTCATAGCAGCTATCAATACATTCAAGGCGAGTTTTCTATCAACCGGTCAAACACCTGAAGGTCCATTAAAGTCATTTGCAAATGCCATTGACTGGGTTCAAATAATAATCTTAGTTKTAGCTCCAGTACTTTGTTTCTTAGCKATCGTGGCAGCCATTGTTTCTCAGGCGATGCGAGTGATYGTTCTGGTAATCAAATGTCAATGCGGATGGAAATGGACTGGTGACGAATCACGGCATTTGCTAGAACCCAGTACAAATTTGCAACAGCAKCCATCAACATGAAGTTCTAATATGTTTGAGGAATCAGTAGGTTTTACGTTTTGCGAAYAAGTACAGACTTGACACATCCGTGAAMAAAATGCCTAAATGCAGAAGAGCGGATCCTGCCAAAATCTCATCGTGTAATCATCACGATGAAATCAACAAAGGGTCTGGGACTGGCCAAAGATCACAAGACAACAAATACTTTATGTTTGAGTTTATTTGACCCATTAATCATTTGTATAAAACATTCCTTTGCCCTTACTACTATTAGCCATTGGAGCAGTACTTTATAAAACTATTATCGCTCTTAAATAACCAAATTATACAACGATCCTCAAGTCAAGTGTCAATASTGCATATATCACATGCGACAAAATTGAAAGAATATTAATCATATAAAAATAGCGAAACATTTGACTGGTACATTGATTTATTACTAGATTGGTCGAGTAAGAACCCTGCAATAACTATATCGACTGAATCAATKTCACAATTTTACTGCACAGAAACTCGATGACATTGCAAGCTTCTTAATCGTACAAAAACCAAGATGCCAGTGACACTTCTTAAAGTGTTGTAATTACGCATGCTCGATTGTCAAATATAACACACCGAGCGGTGCACTGTGGGATACTAGTGGAATGATAACGAAAATAAATGCATGATCACGTGASAGTGTGACGGCAACGCTAATAGGTTCGCTTTGTATAAGAGGAAAAAACATGAAGGAAAATACACGCAAAAAAKGAAGCACTAATGAGGGACTTGAGAGGCCAAGATGAATAATGATTTTTCCACTCATTTCAAAACGAATCTTTGATCGTCAGTGTACAAACTGATAACATTTCTTCGTCTGGCTTTAACACATTTCAACGTACATTTCAATTTCAGGCATTTGCTTCTGAAAGCTTCAATTTGATTGGTTAAGATTAGATGTCAAAAGCTCCCGGAGTGTCCCGTTTAGCCTTCCGACTCATTCGTTCAAGACTTTTTCGCTTTTCAATGCTTTTCTTTCGTCTGTCTTCCCTTGATTTTTGATCACTTTTCCGTCTTCTTGATTCATCCTTGGAGTCGTCTTTGTCTGATTTTGGACTAAGACTWGCGCTAGCGCTGGTTCTWCGKGTCGACGAACTTCCCGTCTCGCTCCGCGTATCCGTTGAATCTTTAATCTCTGTAAGCTTTTTCTTTAATTTTAATTCCAGTTCGTCATCATTTTCAAGATCTTCTATTGATCGGTAGGACCGMGGCTCCGACGGAACTGCCGAAGATGTCTCGATGTTTGTATCAGAGTCGTCACTAAGATCCGAATTTTCGTGTGACAATCCATCTGAGTCATAATTCATGTCGTCTTCCARCGCGTGTTGTAATTCAGAAACTCTTTTCTTTGCTAAACTTAGTTCTTGTTTGGCRGATGCCAAGTCAACTTCAAGAGCTTCCATTTCCCGTTCCTATGAAGTATCAATACATTAATTCATGGAAATCAAGTGTCTGATACGATAAGTAAAAACACAATAGATTCCTGACAATATAAGAAGACCTTGAACAATGCTACATCACAGTTGTATGCATTGCCGAGCAGGAGAGAAGAATTTTCAATTCATTTGTATGTTCAATGCTTGCAGTCATCATGATTAATGGATTGAAATAAGTAACACGGAAACTATAAATTACAACAATTATGGRAAAGGACAATTTCAAGGTTTAATGAAATGAATTAATTTCAGGAGTTTTCTTGTGTAGTGTTGAGWGAACTAACCATTTCASTTTTCTTTTTCTTCCATTCAGTTTCACGTTTCTCTACAGCGTCAGCTTCTTCCTTGATTTCTCGCATGTGTCTCTCCAGCCTTAAATAAAAACAATTGCCTAAATATCACCGTTATCTCAATGATACAAACTAAATATCACTGTGTCTCTCCAGCCTTAAATAAAAGACAGAAACAATTGCCTAAATATCACCGTTATCTCAATGATACAAACTAAATATCACTGCTGTATTTTTTTATTATTCAACAACAAAATGTTCTGAAGTGGAGGGCTCTATGCACAGATAGTAGCCCTCTGTGGTGGTCACAATCGCGTTACGTGGTCGACTATCCATTAATTAGAGCGGAGGAAAATGTATTGAATGAAAATAACATGAATTACCTTAAGTTTTCCTGTGCTAGTTTGGTTTCACGTAGCAGGACGTCATCCCTTTCTTCTTGGACTCTTAAWACTTGTTCTTTTAATCTGTTAACTTGTACCTATAATAATTCAACAACATTGGATAAAAGCAAATATGGCTTATAGAGTCTGGAGAAATAAAGGAACGTCGCTGCTGCTGAATGGTGTGCAGTCATTATTGTTATTTATTTTGTTTCTTTTCTTCTCGAGCAATAAAATCAGCAAACGAAATCTGCTATTCAAGGTTCTAGTGTTATTCTATGAATCGTATAACATTCCTGTAGAACAAGCGAGTTTTCGTGTACTTACATCTTGCCTTCGCTTTGTCGATCCTTCTAAATCAAGTTTTGTTTCTAATTCTCTCATCTGAATGATACAGCAAGTATTGAATATTAGAATAACCTAATGACATAATTATGATTTGATGATTAATATTTACCTTGCTGTCCATGGTATTTAGTTGCTGTTTGTCTACTGTAGAACCTTCTAAGTATTCCATACGAGTAGCCATGTTAGAAATCTAAAAAAGACAACAACTGTCAAACACTGGCACTATGATACTAGTACTTTGTGGTAATGRTTTGACAATATTCATTTTCGTTGGAAATAGCAATTGTTTGGAAACTGGAAAGATTAATAGTCTAGTGGCCAAGACCACTTTTAACCATGTTGGCTGCACCCGGGGTGGCAAGCTGTTCTTGGTATCATTTTAAAGCTCAGACCCTGCYCTTTTAGGATTTGGCCACTAGACTATAAGGTGGACAAACTAAATATGGTACCTTGGCTTCAAGAGATTCTTTCTCGGCTATCGTCTCCTGGAGTAGATTGTCCATCTCACGTAATTGTGTCTCTGCTGTCGATAACTAAAAACACAAGAAAATCCCAATCCCGTCAAAGATATTTTCTTAAAGAGCAAACTACAATCATCGTCGATCACGTGACATTACCTGTTTCATCATCTGTCTGTTCTTCTCTGTAAGTGCCTCAATTTCCTCCTCGTCTTCTTCCACTCGACTCTGCAGCGACGTTGCTTCTTTCAACTGCGTGAAATATTTATTTTCAACCTGGAAATTAACATGAAATGTAAATAAATAGATTTAATATTTATGTAACTGATAGATGCAAATCGTTTGACAATGACTTCATTTCAAGAGGCTACGAGTCTACGAGTCTACGACGGGAGACCTTAACTGCGAGAATAGTTGTATGTGTTCTTTAAAAAAACTGCATAATAAATTATCCCCTTCCATTTCTTTACAGTGAAAAGCTTGGATTAACGTACTTTCTGCAAATGTTCCCTGGCTACTGATCTCTCCTTAGTCACCCCTCCCCCCCATCGTTCCTGTTTTAGGTTTACCTCTATCTTGGACTTGGTCAATGAGTCCAACTGTGACTGYACATCCTTCAAATCTTCTTCGATTTTCTTCTTTCCCTTAAGTGCGACCTGTGCAGAATACTCAGCATCTTCTAGCTTGTCTTTGAGGATCTTCACTTGATTTTTATCCTTCATTTTCTTCTCCATGGTGTCAATCACTGTTTGTGCGTCTCTAAGCAATGCTTTGGTTCGTTTCAGCTCACGACGAAGTCGCCTTTCGTTTTCAGCGTTATCACGTTCGTAGCTATCGCGTAATTCTTGAAGACGCCTCTCCATGTCACGCTTTGCCTGAAGAGTAACGCAATGGGAGGGTTAGAATCACGCAGCCAGGACTGTGGTGTGACAATTCAAAGTGAAGTAAAGAGTGTCAATTCAAAGTGAAGTAAAGAGTGTCGTACAAACCTTTATCAAGGCAGTTTTTTCTTCATGTTCATCTTCTTGTTGTGCCTCTAGCTGCTTCATCTGACATGAGCAACATCTCATGTAAGTAAGACAACCATGTTTTCATGATAATGCTAGTGAATTCACCTTTTTCTGCATCGTTTGTCGAATGTCTTCTACTTCTTCATCTTTCGCTTCAAGTTCTTTTTGAACACGTACTTTCTCCCGCTCGGCAGCCATTTCCAGGCGTAGTTTAGCTTGTTCTAAAACCTGGATCTCTCCTGCTTGTTCRTCAAGCTCTTCCTCTTGGTCTTGYACCTTTTGTTCCAACTCACGGATGGTTTTCTTTAATGCCACAGACTGAAAACGAAACACCGGATATTCACTTGCGTGYTTTACACTCTTAAAACCAAGATATAACAGCACTGGTAATGATTTCACKCAGGTTTGAACTATACACCTTCGTATGGTGGGAACCACATATGTACAATGTATGTTATAGCCATTTGTTCACTATATTGTAGATACTTATTGCCAATATTAAGTCCTAGTGTCCATAATCGTCTTAATAATTCCCTTGAAGAATTCAGACTCTATGGACACTAGTACTATGGACACAAGAACTACATTTGTACATGTATGCTCTAACTGATAATTCTATTAATTCAGTAATGAAAGATAAATAACATATTATCGATTAAGTTTCATCTTATAATCAAGTAATAATTTTTTATAACTTACGTCTCCATCAACTTTAGTGCCCAGGTTCCCTGACATGTCGTTGATGTCACGGTTGAGTCTTTCATTTTCTTTTGTCAGTCTTTCAAGTTCATCTTTAGAGTCCTGTGATGTAAAATCGTGGTAAAAATATTAACAACAAGCGTCGATAAACAATTGAACAGGAGAAATCATCTTTCGTGAATTTTCAAGTACTGTCTTCAGTGTCACGATCTTGGAACAATAGTCGCTAAGAAAGGACRGTCAAGSTTGTGTGGAATGGGATTTTGAATGACACTTAGAGAGAAAGTGTAGTCACGTGATTCTGAAAATTGTAGTAGGAATTGCTTTAAGTTTTGTTACCTCTAGTTCTTTTTCCAAGCGATATTTTTCAGACTGATATTTTTCTTTCTCTCGGTTGATTTTATCTTTGAGATTTCGTTCATGCGAGACTTCTTCTTTGAAGCGATTTGATTCGATATCGAACCTGAAACACGACAAGGGTTACTTTTTACTGAACGAMATTGTTTTCTCTTTTTGTAATTTCYACTCACTTTCTTTGTTTCTTTTCCAGTTCTGCATTTCTTGAYTGTTCRTCTTCGAGAACTAACTTCAAATCTTCCATTTCTGCGTTGAGTCGTGACGATTTTTTCTTCAGTCCGCTTACTGTTCGATGAAGCTCATCATTTTCAGCCTTTTCTTCCGTTAACTAAAAACAGCAAAGACATCAGAGTTAAAAACGAAAATATTTCAAAAGAGAAATTGAGAAGACTTGATTCACCTTTCTCTCGAGAGCTCTCTTCTGATTGGTCAGTTCTTCTACTACTTTGTCAGACTCGTCCTGGATTCTCCGCCTTAGTTCGTCGTGTTGTCGAGAAGCTTGAAGATATCGGTCACGGTAAAACGTTTCTGCATGGCAAGGGAAATGTGTTAGCTTGGTAATTGATACACCGTCTGAAATATGTCTAATTTGTTAACAGATTTCTCGTAAGACATAGTTTACCATCCTCATCGTCTTCATCTTCGTCGTTCGAGGCACCTTCACCCTGATAACGTTCAAGTTTGACGATAGGTCGAGCAGCAGACGAGGCCATTGCACGAGCATCAGCGAGGTCTTTGCTCAGCTTTTCTTTCTTTTTCTTCATCTCATCGTACGATTCCTGAGTAATATAGTACGGTAATCATTGAGTCATCTTACAAAAATCTTATTTTCATCAGCCAATACAATAATCGAGGTACGATCAATTATTCTAATCACCATCACACTTGGTAATGACAGTTAAGAGTGAACAATGGCATTTATCCTCATCATCCACCATCATTCGACTATCTAGGTAATTACAGTCAAGAGTGAACAATGGCATTTATCCTCATCATCCACCATCATTCGACTATCACTAGGTAATTACAGTCAAGAGTGAGCAATGACTTTATCATCATCATCATAACTCTTAAACTAGCATCATCAATCATTGTATACCTGTAATTCGTTGTACGATCTCTCTAATCGCATTCGTTCCATAGTTTCTTGTTCAAGTTCTTGGTTTGCATGATTGGATGCGGCTCGGTCCTCAGCTAACGCCGCAGACAACTCTGCCACCTGATAAAACAACCATGTTAAGTACCGGTAGAACCTCTACATATCGGACACCTTAACTATTACAGACACAACACCTTAACTATTACAGACACAACGGTCACATCATTGATTTGTCGAAGTGTTCAATAATGGGTTTCTTGAGAGTATATTTGTGTCCAGTTCAAATCAAATTCAGATATCTGGAAATGATTTTTGATTACAATAAAAAGAACAAAAGTTGATCAACCGGGACAAAAATAAATAGAGAAATATGCAGAGAAGCGAACTAAATACATCAATACACAATTAATAAGTAAATCAATGGTTATCGTATGTCTTCATGAACGGCTTCTAACTAAGTCTTCACAGAATGAAATCACTCACAAGATCGCCAGACACTCAGACCACATCACAAGGTTTTCAACTACCATTTTCGACATAACAATTTACCGATGGATATAGGAAACCTATGAATATTTCATGATAAAAACAGCTTAAAARATTCATTGAAACTGTCATCRAGCAGACTTTCYAGTAGCCGAGCACCTGGAAATCCTCGCAAGAATGCTGTTAACGAATTCAAATGACAATTCGAAAAAATAATAGAAAAATACTCACATATATGCATGAAATATAACTATCGATAAAACGGAAAATGACTAATGTAAAAGTTCAGAGGATTTTAAAAGTTCATTTCTTAAATCATTTACGTCAAACAAACCTCAAAATCTGAAATCAAAAATTAACATTAAAAATCTAAAAAAAAATTAAAAAATATTTGTACATATATTTAAGAGGAAACTGGCTCAATTAATAAACACAAAGATTTCTAAAAGTAATGAGGATATAAATGCTCGAATAACATAACGTCCGTGTATTGGCAGACATTACAAAGAGAAAGTGCGAGAACCGACAATATTGCATCAAACAGGTGTCAGAATTAACAAAAACTAAAATACTACAAAAGGACGAATATACTGAAGTAAAATATGGTATTTATCTAATTTTTGGCAGAGTATCACACTACATGAGATTTTTGATCGAACCTACTGATCATTTTCTAGTTAAAATGATAATAAATAAATCTAAAAGAGTAATTTATAAACCATACCTTACTTTGATTTGCTTTTCAAAATTACTCCGTAAAACGTAAGTAGCAACGAAATTGTACAGAGAAATCCTCAAYGGACGCGATCTGAGCAGACCACGAGGCTGAATTACATGAGGTATGCTTTGCATAACAGATTTACCATATTCATGTTARACGTGACACTTATCTCCAAGCTGATAGGTTCAAATACTTAGATCGAGACACAAACAAGTCATATTAATTGTTGAAGTACAGAATATTTCATAACAAAAATACGATTGATTGAAGTCTCTTAACAACAAAAGTTTGCCATCATGCATTTGAGCAAAAAAAGAAAAGGAGAGAAAAGTAAGGGAAAAAGGGAAAGCAATGAAATAAAAAAGAATAAGGTGAAAAGAAGAGAATGTGAAGTTCAACAAACTAGTTGATTTATAAGAAAACGCCGTATAAAAGAAAACTTTCTTGGAATCAAACCAGTCCGCTGCTCAGAGTAAAACACCTGTTATGGAAACATGGCCCGTTTCCGTTCTCAAATAACAAAGAAACTTAAAAACGACATTCGTAATTCCATTTCCTTATCCCTCAAAAATCACGCATCATTTTAGACTGACTCATGTAAAAGCGACCACATTAGATGGAAAAGAACAAAGCAAAACACCGATGACTGACAGCAGAACTAGTGAGGGACTTCAAGGAACACGAAGCCTGTTGTTTTCCCGTCCAACTCTTTGTGACGTGACTAGTGTTAAAACTTGTATAATTACTTTGACTTTTATGAAGTTCGATTTAAGAAATCCAAAGTGATTAATTAGTACGTACCTTTTGCTCAAGTTTCTCATTGTCACCATTTAATTCTCTGTTTTCATTTTCAAGTTTGATGATMTTTGCTTTGAGAGCGTCGACTTCCGTCTGTTTTATAAAAGACGATGTTGGTTTTGCTAATATGATTCAATATGYCTTTTTGTTCAGTTATGAGTAATTGTTGTARCGTGCTCACCGATTTCGATTTAAGTTCTTCTTCAGCTCGATGAACATTCAAGAGAGGAAGCACCTACAGACACAACATGCAAACATATCAAGGTTCACGAATCATCGATTTTATCCAATCTTAACTATCAGACATTTTCTTTGAATTATCAAACAATAGTCCCTCAAGTTAGACCAACTATAGGGCGACATAAAAATGGCTCCAATTTTTTTTATATATATTTTCGCGTATAAATGAATAGAAGAAAAAGAGTTTAACAACTCGTACGAGTTGTAACTAGTACCAATATAAAGAGTACCTTGGTATAGAGTCTCCACCATGGCCAGTTCCTAACAGCAGCAAACACACGCAGGTTCTTTTGAATGCAAAACATCGCACGATTTTGAACCTACGAAAAAAAGAATGTTTTTGTTTAGAAAGTGACTCTAAACCCAATAGTTGTATAAAATTCTGGTCAAATAGTTATATTTCCCATGCCTTTATATTCTTTATCCATATGATATTTTGTGTGTGTGACACATATCAAGAAACAACGTACTCAAAAGTAGTTCATTTTCTTATGAATGAAGTCATTACTTGTAATTTTTTGAATTTCCTTCGAGCCAAGTATCCTCTACAAAGAGACTGCAATTCGACAATAGTCCCAGTGTTCTTTTCGTCACGGGCATCTTCTAGCTGTGCGAGGGAACCGGCCCGGAAAAATATCTAAAGGAAAAAAAAACAGAAATGAAACCAAAACGGTAAATCACTCAATCAATCAATTAGATCCATGAACTTACCTGACTTAAACCAAGTCGATAACTCCTTTTATCAAGGTCGAGATGTTCTAATAATGTCTCTACTCCCTGTTGCAAGACAATTACATGGTAACATGTTAAAATGGTAAAACCAGTACATCAGGAAAACAGCCTTCACTTCAAAAACATTACAATGGTCATCATAGGAAATATTTTGATGTCATGCAAGAATCTCAATCAATTTTCTGGGTCACGGCTTCAATTATCTGATCAATTATAGACAAGGGTCTAAAAATCAACATATCAACCAATATGCCTTCAAAATGGCAAAAACATATCAATAAGTTAACAAACAACGGTACCTTTTTCTCATCCAAGACTGGCCCGGTATTCCTACATTCTGTTGGTGCTAAGATATCGAATCGACGTCTGAATTCAGCAAAAGGCATGTGCTCGGGGTAGCCTGGAAAAGAAACGATTTTGTATGTAAGCAAGTGAAAAAGAAAACAAAATGATCAACATGGAAAACGAGAAGAAAAGAATAGACTTAAACAAAAACAACCATAGTTTATTCTCAACTATTGAGAATAAAAATGCGACCAMAAAATGGGAGAAAGACAGGGATAGAAAAAAAAACCATGTCGAATTTACAKTACTCAAATATGAAGCAAACGGTAGCTATTCGGCTACGCATGCCTTTATTAGTAAATATGATAAAGACAAGCCTGCTAGTTCATGAAAGGTACGCATTATATTCGGCCTTAAATATGTCACGGAAAACAAGCGYCGTCTAATTCGATTAACAACTGCTGGTCTAGCTGAAATATATGCATAAGTACTCGTTGAAAGTACGGTGTTTGAACTAGAATACAAAGCCTATATGCAAACCCAACGAAAAGACAACATAGGGGAAATAAATAACATACTGCAGTAGGCAGTAGAAGTTTGAATGGTTGCTATTYAATGATGTATTTGTACTGTATTGTCTCGGCATGAAACAATAAAAGACACACAAGTAATGGAATGTTTGTACAAAGATATGAGTCTCATCATGCATTGGAAATGAAATTTTACTTTCAAATCTAACCTGGAACACTGAAAGTTTGCAATTTCGTTGCATGAACAACAACAATTACTCTTGCCTCAAACGATCCCCCAGCTTGAACACTGTAACCATTTATTCCCGGGATAACAGTTTTGTCTTCCATGTTGACGATTACAGTCATCGAAACAGAGACAGCAAGAATTTCATGCTCACTATATAAAATAAACCTCGTTTATACTGAGGCATCATGCTCAAAACAACAGTCTAGCTTTAACGATGCACTGGTAACCGCTGTSTTTGTATGGAGAGTACGGCAAAGTTTCTCAAACTAGATCGGTGCTCTCCCGCAGACTCAAATTACTTCAAGATATGTCGGTAAACACAAGACAAAACCGCAGAATAAACTCACAATCACTCAATCATGGCAGACTAAAGCGTGACGAAATAATTAGCATTTAAATAAAAGACCATTTCAACAAGTCCCAAGTCGCAAGTCTACTTYCCTAATGCTCTAGTAATTTCCTAATGTTTGCCAACAACACKGAGCTTTCTTTTTGTAATATATTTGTACATGAACAAGTTTTAGTTGTCTAGTTAAAATTCAAAAGAATTGCTTATAAAAAGTAGCAGTCATTAAGTTAATCCCTTTGTTTAGTTGATAATACCAGATCAGAATAGAGCTTAAAGCTCCTTATCAGATGATTGACAGATGATGGCAGGAACACAGGTAACCCGTGAAGAAAAAAAAATACCTTGTCTGTGAATTCGTATAGCATCCAGCATCTCAGCAGCTCGTAGYTGAAGTCTTGCCAGAGGAACATCCATTGACGTTAGGTCTTTTGCCTTTTCTTTGGATCCTTCACTAGCATCATAGATGACGGGCACAATAGTACGGACAAAATTCACTTTGGTTTTGCGAATCGCCTCGAGGATTGTATCCTGGTTGACATGAACAGTATAATCAATATACAGGAAAAACACAATATGTTGCGACTTCTTTTAGAAAAGGCGAGAGTAACTTCATTTTTGAGCAAAAGGATTATTGATAATCAATGTCGTAAGATTGATAAGAATGATGATGATGATGTTGTTGATGGCAATGATAGCTGCTGTGATAATAAACATCTAAAGAGTACTGATATCGAGTACACGATGCCYAGAGGTTTCATTATCGTTTTGAATAAGTGCCTGAGTGATTGAAGTAGGCGTCGGTGTCCCAAACAATTTACAATCATAGTTATTAAGTAAAACACAAAATAACCTGCGGTACGAGGTAAAATAGTCGGTGCTTTACTGCCGTTAGCCCACTATTATTGAAATATTCACGCTATATTCATGGTATCTATGTACATGGTACGTATACCTAAAGCGTTTTCAGCTTTATCTAGATGATTACCTTTCCGTGTGTAAAAGATAATTTTGACGCGGATAGGCCGCAGGTTTCCATGTTTTTTTCATTCAAATYGATTTTTGAAGAGTTTGACTTACCACTTGATAAATCAACTGAAGACATTGAGAATTCTTTTTGATGGCAGGTGATGGCGACATGGATGTCCTTTTAAAGCTTCTTGATCTAGAAATACTGCTGTCACCCGTATTACGGTTACTGAACATGTCTGCAATAGGAGGTCTGAAAACAAATGTGAACTATTAAATGGAATTCAGGATGGATGGGAAAGTGAAAGAGTTAAGAAAGAGATGGAATAAGGAAAAAGGGAAAGGAACAGAGAAATGAAAAAAATGGAAATGACGGTTGATTGAAAGAAAGACAACAGGAAACAAAGTCATATTACGAAGTTCAGATAGGCGGAGTGCCTTACTTGGAGGAATCTGAGAGAACACCCTTGGCTTGCTTGGATGTTGAGTGTTCTCTAGCCTGTTTTAACCATCCTTTAGCATTATACAATACTGGAATTGTCCCTTGACAATGGTTTACATAGAATGTATCCTTACGCGGCCCTTGCTTTACCCAAGATTGCTCTACAACAACAACAACAACAACAACAACAACAATGGTTGACAGAGATCGTTAATTTGAGTTAAACTACCAAAAAAAGAAATGCTAAGAGATACGACAGCGAGACAGTCGCAGCGTGGCTTGAAGAGGAACAGTCAATGGCGTCAAATTGATGAATGTAGCCATGCAGTGATCAATTAATCCTACCCTACTGTATAACCAGTACGTGGGTTTCTTTACAAATAATGCACTCGTCTAGGGTTTCGCATTGCCGTATTTCCAAKAAATGTAACTAGCGTGCTTGCAATGCAGGCTGGTAAATCTACTGGTCACTAATTATTYATTGGTAACATTGACTTACTGTCGCTACAGTGATGGACATACACTCGGGCTAAAAAGCTGCTATCATTGGCACCAGGGAAGATGGACTCCTCATCAAGAATCCATAAAAGACCTTTTTGTTCATTTTTAAGATCCAAAGTTGACCCCCTGGTCTAGATAATGGAATCACAATCTTTATTAATAATTTAGTAACATTTAATAATTTTGATTACAAGAGTGTAATGCAAGAGGAGATCGGTTAAAAAGTTCAAATAGAAGAGATCCACCATATATGGCAAACAAACGAAACATTTATATATGAATAAACAAAGTACTTACCAATCCTTGTACTGCCTTATCAAACACCCCGACTACAGGGTCAGGAGAAGTTGCATTACTCTCAAAACTGCATTCAATATTTTCCTGCGTAAAATAACAAATCATGTCAGTACTTGTGACATGGATAGAGGAACGTCCGTTGTATTTGATCTACTTTTGATCCAAAACTACAAGCCTTTTTTCGTCCTAATTTTCAATCACAAAGATATGATATCCAAAGTACCTAAAAATAGACTTACCTGTGCATATCTCTCCATTTGTGAAGTAAATACAGTGTGGTGGAAGAACTTTTGAAGTCGTTCAGTCTCGTAGTTATGACACAGATCYTCAAAGGTGGCGCCATGCTCCTTCTTGTAAGCAGTAGGATTTTGAAAKCCCGGCGAGTCTAGTACATGAATAGTCGACACGCTACGTAAACCACACTGTAGTGATCGATTGATAATCTTCATGAGTGCAGACAGCGCTTCTTGGTAAAGACCGATAGCAAAGCCTTCAAGTGCTTCAATGTAACTAGATGCCGCACTCTTTGCTTGTCTCTCAGGAGTTGCCTCGGCAGATGAAGGAGGGCTCATCGAGTCACTAGATTTCTGTCTCATTCGAATAGTAAATTGATTGACAGGAGGAGGTGCAAAGATGATTTCTGTCAATTCTTCTTGGGTTGTTCCTAAGACTGCAGCAGCTCTTTGTACAGAAGCAGGGTTAGTGAAGTGTGGTTTGTTGTCTTGACCTGGTGGAAAGATAACAATTACATTATATATAATTACTGTCATTATCCAAGGGTGAATGTACACACTTTACTTATATTATTATTGATAAAGACATGTCCTTTAAGGAAAGATTGCGTTTCTTACCTATGTTGATACCAGAACCACCAAGATGATAAATAGCAGCTAAACAACTCCAAATAGACTTTGCTTCATCAACTGATATTCCAAGCATGTTTAAAGCAAACTCTATCTCTGTCCACTTGTTTGAGAGGCGTTGTGTTTCTGAGGGCTGAATAAAATGATTATTGATATAATATACAATACATTATAGATAATAACAATAAAACACTATGGCAAAACATTATCATATAAAAAAGCTGTAATGTGTATATTTGGATGATACTAACCAGAGGGTCAAAATCAGAAATAAAATCATTATGTTCACTGAGAGCTCTATCCAATTGAAGCTCCTTCCTATAAAATAGTAATAGATGACTAATTAGAATAGCATTATAAATTTAGCCTTGTACATTAAGGATTACAATATATATTATAGTGAGGACACTAACTATGAACACTTGACTCTACTTTATCTCAATAATTTGATTTTCTGAGTTCTTTCAACTGTTTGAAACTCTAAAAAAAGAGTTTTCTAAAAAAGTTGTAAAAAGGAACCAAGTGTTTATGGTTCAAGTGTTCTCACTGTGATACATGTACGACTGACTATCTAACTGCACTATTAGGGTTTTAGTGTTCTTACCGTAGTTTTGCATCACTGCCGGCCAATAGATACTTAAAGATGTGAAAGGGACCTTCTCCTTCAGGTTGACGTACAACTCTTGACTTCTCWAGAAGAAATGTCTGTAAAATAGGGGGAAAAGGAAAGTTTGATTAGAGAAGATTGACAAATGTCACATACCAAACCATCATAAAGTCAAATACTACATAATTATGCAACCACCAATGGACCCACCCGTACATTACTACAGTGTATATACAGTGTACTTTTGTTTGTGGTTTTTGACTTCAATTATTTGGTGCATAGAGCTTATACGATGTTGCTGCTTGCAAGTATTATGTCTACATTATACAAGTTATCAGGAAAGCTGAAGAACTACAAACATATTTTATCTCCACAGTTGTGCAAGTACCTGCAGGGTGCCACAAGTAATTAAACCAGCTGAATCAAAGTCCAGGCTCACAAGCAAGGTTAGCTTTGATGCATTTTTGTTCAGTTTGTTTGGTGCATTGCCAAATGCTTCAAGTAAGGCAAAGATACCTTCAAACTTTTGATCTGCAAAACAAGAATCAATAACAAAATGTAAGACAATTTGAATATAGAAATGAAACAAGGGATGACTTAGAAATCAGAGATTTTATTTTTCTCTGAGCATGGTTTCCAAAGATTGAAGTAGCTTTACAAACATCTTCACATGAAAACCCCTTCTGCAACTAACTCAGAAACTTATTATCTTCATGCGTATCTTGATGAATGAATGAATTACTAATTGAATGTAGTGAATGAAAGGATGGGATGAATGAAAGAAAAAGTGACTGACCTGTGACGGCCGAGTGATTGGAAGCAGCTGTAACAGACAAGTAGTGAAGAATGTGTTTTGCACAAGTTGTCTTTCCTGAACCACTTGCACCCATCATGACGATTGATTGGTCCAGTCTTGCTGCAAGCATGTTACGATATGCTGTCTGTGCTGCGGCAAAGATGTGTGGAGGCATGTCCTCTTGTTTACAACCACGAAACATTTGGATAACCTGACAATAAATAAAACTCTTTTTACTGAATGGACTAGGTACATTATTCAAAACAAACCACTCAGAAACATTGTTACCAAATGACAGCCCTTCAATGGTAAGAAATAAAAATGTTTATGGTAATAAGATAATAACCTCAAGAATAGAAATTATAATCTCAAAACATAATTTCTGTTAAGTCAAACTTTTCCATTTTCTAGTGGTATACATACTTTGTCTGTGTAAATAGCCAGGTTTTGGTTGGGGTTAACAACAATTAGGTTTGGACCTGCATAGGTATGGATAAGATTACTTCCATGTCGTTGACGAAGTGTATGCAGACAACTTGACTCATTGAGATAGCGGAGTGAAGCCAGGTCTTCAGCTCGGTCATATTGAGGTGGATTGGCCTGGAGAAAAATCAAGCAGTTTCTAAATATCAATGCAGTGAGTCTTGATGAAGAAAAAACAGGTAATGCTTAAGATAAGACTTGTAATCTGACCTTTTCAATGCTCTCTTCTTCTATAGTGATAACTTCTCCACCATGATCTAACTTCACTTTACACATGGGTGTTTCATCTTCCTCTTGTTCAGCAGATTTGATTCTCTGGACTCTTCCTCCTGAAAACCCTGCCTTATGAACCACCCACACCTTCTCTGCATCTTGCCAGGCTTTTTGAGATGCTGTTTCCTCCGCTGACTTGGGCTGAGAAAACAATTACATCATTCAGTGCTAAAGYTTTGATTTTATATCTTTGACGTTTTATTAACAGCTTGTATACTGTCCAGTGACTAAATTGGTAAAATTGCAGACAAGGTAAATGGCAATTGTACTATTCTTTAATAATGCACAAATCATGGTGACAAAAATGTAATTAGATTAACAGAACTAAAGACTTGTAAAGACTTGTTTTGTAATTGTAATGGTTAAAATGAGAATCAAAAAACACTGTCATTAACTACAACAAAATGGGATGCAAAAAGAAAATTATTTTAAGGAATAATTCAATTTTACGGTTTTGTTTGATTATTTAAAAAGTGTCTATAATATAACTTATTTTACAACAGACACACAGGATATTTTCAATTTAAAAATACTTGAAACCAACCTCCTGTTCTTGATGAACATAATATATTACTTCCATCATAAATAATCAGAATTGAAGCCTAACGCTGTTACTCTGTTACACCTGACTCATATTATAAAACCTTGAAAACGTCACATACAATATACTATGCTTTATCTCCCTTAAAATAAAAAATCTTGAGTCACTAAGACAAGTAGTTGTAGGTTATAAAATACATTGCCATCAAAACAGAACATTAGAAACACAGAACCATACTTGTTGTACATCAAAAGAGGGTAGATCATGTTTCAGTAAGGTTGACCTATGGCTTTATTGTGACAGTTATTTTAATGAAGTTAATTGAATAACAACAAAAATAAGTCAATAACACCATCCTATAACAGTTACTGCATTCTCTTTCAAAGATTATTAATTGAATATAACTTCAGTCCAAGATTTATGTGTGCACAACAGTTTGACATTTCTGTCAAGAAGATTGTGAAAACATTAAAAACAAATTTAAAAGGACAAGACATTTTATGAAGCCTATGGATGTAAGTCGTAGTATTTTCTTTTGCTTTTTTTTTGTTTTTTTGTTTTTTTCATTTTTAAGACAACTAAGTTTAAGTTATTTGTAATTCAAACATCACATAACCATCATTTTAGCATTTAAAGAATTGAATAAAATTCATGAAGAAGAATCTGTAGCCAAAACATGATCTCTTATACTACATGTATACGATAAATAATTCACACAACTTGGAACAGAATACTACAGAACGCAATGTTAAGAATTAGCAACACATGTATCAATCATAAAAATGTCTTTTCCAGTGTTTAAATATGTCCCTTTTTCAAGGTTAATTTAAGCAAAGTGTTTGTTAATATTATCCAGACATGCATCTTTCTTAACTTCCCGATACCTGCAGACATCACCCTGCAGTCTCCATTTACATAAATAACAGACAGGTACATGTACCTTAGTGACTAAGAAAAGATTATCCATTAAATACTAAATGAACACTACTTGATAGAAGGGCTTTATGGAGTATTATAAAACCACAAGTCCTACATGTATCTCACAAAAAAACATGGTTTTTAAATATGATTGTAATATCATTTATGGGTCCATAGAAGCAAACAGACAAAAAAGAAAAAAAGAAATATTTCACAACATTTTATTGGCATTAATTCCCTTCATGTGCATTTTAGCTTATCATGTACGTATAGTGCTATAATTTCTGCTTTTTTTAGCAGTATCTCTCCAGGGAATTCACAAAAACAGAGTAAAATCACATGAAGATGAAGTATTTTAATTATAGAATTGTAAGTTTGTTAAAGATTTAAGCCATGTGCTTTACAACTAATATTATGACTGCACTGGTTTGTGCATTAATCATTGATGGAAATGTGTCTTACATGAAAGAAAGTCATTTCATTATAAAAGAAATGTAATAAAAGTCTATCTCCCATCTTCACTGAGCAAAATAACTTTACTAATTTTTGTGAGGCTTTAATTTTGAGATTTTGTGATTTCAAAACCTTGCAAAAAAAGAATCCACGAAAATTATACACGAGAAATGTAATACACTTATATAACTCCTTTGATCATTTCACTTCTTTATATTAAAATCTTGATTGTAAATCGTTTATTGTTTAAGTAATCATTCAATAAAAAAGGATTTTGAAGTCTGTCTGTCCACCTGTTTTTCAATTTTTGCAAAATTAAATGCACTGAATTTATCGTTTTTTTTTAAATTGCGAAAATTAATGCTCTCAAAATATTTGTGTTCCAAATTCGCGAAAAATAAGTACGAATAAGGAACAGGTAATGTAAATATCATATAAGACAAAGTGATAAAAAAACATATTTCAATTATAAGTTCACTCTTTACTGTCTCCAAATAAGCTTGTTTTACTTTTGCAAAGTTTATCCACAAGTGACAATTTATTTTCATTGTTCATGGTGATGGTGAATTAATATTATTATGCTACACATTGTTTATATTTGATTGCAATTTAAAGAATGCAAATAATGTTTTTATTTTTTCAGATTAATAGGAAACATTTACAAATTTGTGCTATGACAGGTCTGTCAGTAACATGCATTAGGATCTTCTTATCTTGAATTGCAAATTCAATGAATGCCATGCAAAAAGAGGGCAATGGTCAGATCTTTCTAGATTGAGAGCATGTTTTCAATACTTCAAAATAACTTAGAAATAGCTCTTACAGTATTGTTCACGAATATTTAACAATGAACACTAATAAAACTATCCTTTAGTAGAAACTATATCTACTAGCATATGCTCCACCTGATAAACTTGGCCTGGTAAATGTTTACTATAACTGACTAAATGAATTGTGATGACAAGTATATCTTAGATGTGAATGATTTGATACTAATTCAAAAGGTTATTATCAGCAGGCAATAGTCTTATATTGCCACCTAAAGATTGAACAGTTTTCTCCTTTTTGCATTATAACAAGATAACATGAAAAAAACCCTGACAACACAGACATGTCATTTTTTACTTATTGACAATGATACCTGTGCATATTTGATGCGTTGTGCTTGAAATAGTGTTTTTTGGCAAACTATGTTTTGTMTKTTTAATTTTTTGTCAACCAGTTGTTATTTGTTCCAATATTTACACAGGTCCTACATGAAAGAATACTATTAAGTAACAATTCATGTATGCAAGTCTTTTGATATCAGCAACCAATTAAGGTTTTTGGAAAAAACTGATACATGTATAGGAGATTTATCATAAATTGTAATTGGTAATCGATAAGATTAAGATCTGAAAAGTGAAATGCTGATATTATTTGGCCAATCTATAAATTACTAGGGCTTTGTCAATCATTTTGTCATGCTAATTCAAAAGCAGTACTTATAAATGAGAATACTCTTAGCTTATTGAAAACCATTACAAAGCATGTTTTGTTGTCAAAGGATATCGAAAACAAAAGRACTGAATTTGATATAAGATAAATCTATGAGCTTTAGATGGCTGGCCGAAATAGTTGTGATATTTTAACATACATTTACTTAAAAATCATGTATTTTTTTCAATGAAAGGAAACCAAGTATCAAGACTGGTAGAGTGTAAAAATTCACACACAAAATGCAAATATTTCTACAACAATTGTATAAAACTATTCAAAATATTCCTAACACAGGTGACGTTCATTGAAGAACATGTCAAAACATTCCTATCAATAGCATGCTGTAGAACAGAGTTGTAAGAGGTTATACATGTACTTAGAGGTCATGAGCTTTTTTGTAAAACTATGTATAGAAATGAGTAAGTGATATAAAATGTATAACCCTTGCCAAAATTTTTGTAATGATGATTACCATCAGAGAAATCAAACCTTGCAATTTAATAGCAATGCAGTTTTAATTATGTCAGGAATGTAGAATAAAATGACAAAAGCTTGGTCATATTGTTTAACAAAGAGTTTTTGCACATGTCAACATTGTAGTATTGACAATAAAAATACTTCTATGTCATCACTAGATTAACGTTTTGCTTGGGTTACAAGATCAAAAAAAAGTCTAAATGTTTGTGGTTCCATTATTGTAATCTATAATTAATGCAAACGAGAATGAAGACTTCATAYATCAGAAAAATTTATAAATTGTATTGACTATTCTCAGTTGGAGACGAGTTTGGCAAAGTTTCAAYATCAGGAACCAAATAGGTTGGACATTATGTAATAGAAATGTGGTTGGCTCTTTTAGCTTCCTTGGATTTCGTGTAGCCAGTGAAGCATAAAGGACAATAATATCCATGCAATGAGACTAATAATGTTCTCACATTATAAATACCATTCATACATTAATGATATGAAATAAAAGTGATAAAGATAACAATCTTGCGATCCCAGATAATTACTGAAATACAATAATATACTTTATGCGAAATCTACTATTAGAAAAAGGATTTCGTAACATTTGTCAATGCCACGATAATTAGTGAAATTGACACATGCATTGCAAGCATTAAAAACACTATGCGGTTGATTTCTTCTAACGGTTTGGACACCACAATATACCGCGTTTCAGAGGCCTTTATAAGGTTATCAATAGAAAACATACCTTTTTCTTCATGCGCTTGCTACCACTTCGTTGTAATGTGCCAGCCTTGAGATTCGATTCATCTAGTTGTACAGACGAACCATCAAGTCCACTACGAACGCTAAGCTCTGAGAGTTCTGATACTGGCACAACTTTTATGACAACCTCATTGCCCGACATTGCAATCATCTCAATAATCTTTTCTCTATCTACGTCTTCCACATTGACTCCATTCACCTCTATAAGTCGATCYCCAGGAAGTATTCCTGTTGCAGTATTTGGYCCAACCGGCTCTACAAAATGAACTGTTTTGTCATTGCCACTTTCTGTACCTCTACGCAATGCAAAGCCAAAATCTCCACTCATACGACGTTGTATCTTGATAACCCTAGGTATTCCAGGAGAAGCAGGCACAACCTCTGGAAGAGTAAGATCCACTCCTAGATCTTCAAATGACTTTTCTGTAGGAGAAGTAATGTCGATTGTGATGTCAGGGCTGGCGGTTTCCAAAGGAGATGAGGAATCAATCTTGATAGGTTTTTCTTCCATACTTGCATCCATAAAATCTTCATAAGGACTAGAATAACTATTACTTACTGAAGAGACTGTGACTATTTCTCGTGGTTCGTTGGCCATATATGAGGTCTTATTCACTCCTGAGTTGACAAGCCTAAACTCGACAACTCCTGTGTCGTCAGGTTTAACGACTCTTGGAGGTTTTGGCGGACCTATTGGATCTTGCTTATCCCTATTTGGGGTCCCAGACAGGGCAATAGTGCGCCCACCAGAATGTAAAGACTTTGTTTTATGTTCATGATCATTCCTTTCTGATCTATAACTGCGCTCTGCAGGATAAGGCCTATCACGGTCACTGTCACTTCTGTGTCTTTGATCACCATTCATCGAGTCAGTGCTATTGCTAGACAGCTTTATCTCAACACTTGAAGTTTTCTTCCTCCTTGGAGCTGGTACAGGCTCTGAATTTCGGTCAATTCTCTCTGAATAAGCCCCACTGTAATTAGAATCAACGTAATCTTCTCGAGTACTTGCAGCAGAGCCATGTTTCGTATCACCATCGCTACTCGAGTAGCTCTGCCTAACATCATATCCTGTTTCGTTGGAAACAGGACGATTTTCTTCATCAAATTCATGATCAACATCATATTTTCTCTTTCTAAAGCTAAATCTTGTACCCTTTTTGTCGTCTAAATCCCCAGTCGATCCTGCAACGATGTCTCCGATGATAGTTGGATCAGCTTGTTTTTTGTCATGAGCATGTTTACGACCCTCCTTCTCTGCTTTTTCCCTTTTTCTCCTTTCGCGCTTTTCTTCTTTGCTCTCAGCTTTATCACGGTCCTTCTTCTTGAAAGAAAACATATTATATTAGACCCCGTTGTTGGAGAAATTGTCGGGATCGCGTTAGTTTACTCTCGCAACTAACAAATGGCCGCCAAATTTTTAATTCATGAACGACTTCTTCGAGTTATCACGTGATAACAAATCAACCCGTGTCTACCCCGCTAGGGCTTTTGTCAACAAAACTTACCTTTCTTTTTATCGAGGGGAATTTAAACGCCAACATATTTCATTTGTAGAGAGAATTGATCAGACTGCCATCTTGGAGTTGAACGACATTGGCCTTGTTCTTAGTAAATACAATAGGCATTACCCGAGATTGACCGCACTCGATCGACCTCGTGCATTGCGTGACATCAAGAATTTTCTGGTATAAACGAAGCCGTGTTAAAAACGTCGAAAAACCGATATTTACGGTTAGGAACTTTCTGATAATTTCTTGGTGTGCAAGACCAATGAACTAGAATGTGGAGAGGTAATCCTAATTAACTGTCTTTTGGCTACAGTATCGCCACTTCATAAGCTCTCAATGAAAGACTTCGTACACGATCCCAGGGCAGACTGTCGAGACGCTGTAATCTTTTCCTGATACTATAAAAATATCAAAAGAAACCGAAAATATTCGCACTCACAGCGGTTTCTTGTAGTCCAATACGGAGCTATGAGGGTCTATTTCGTAAGTCCAGTGAGTATTTTGATGCTGGAATGTTGACAGTCACGCCTTGATGTGCTTCACTAGTCTCGAGCTTGTCAAGAATCTATCATTGGCTAGCGTAAAATTCTTTCTTTGTATCTGTACTCAGCGGTCGGAAAACTTCTCGTGTAAGCATGCATGGWGGAGATACGTAAACKTATCGATCTGCAGAATCCATTAAACGTCTCYCATGTTACTAKTACTAATATTTTTGACCCGTAGGCCGTATAATTTTTAATGCCAGCAGGAGGGCTTTTTAAGATACTTTTCACTAATTTCCATTGTTAAGATTCCTCACGCTAGACAGAACTTATAAACAAAAATGCTGAAAATGAAAACATATGACTTATTTATTTCTTTTGGCTTGCCTTTGCCTTTCTAAAGTGATRCCGATSCAACATTCAGTGAGAGTCTGAAGGTTTGATCGACTCCGACTGGTTTGTTGTACCTTGGAGAATAGCATGGCTACTTTACAATGTGGCGGTCCCATATAGTGTGGTACGCAAGTACGTCAGCGCATGCCTAATTCCGGTACGAATGTCTCGTAAAATGTGTGAGAAAAAAAATCGATTTCGACTGTCGTATTTTGCTTCTTTGCGGCAGAGTTTCGGTCTACTAAACTCTGTTTGCGGCCCTTCTTTCGTCTTAACCCGCTACATAACGTCGCAAGTTAGTATTGTTCGCGAGTTCGAGGAGTCACACAAAAGTAGGAGTATGCACAGAGGTGGGGCATGCGTAGGGTGTTCAGTTATGAGCCTTACTGTTCTACGTGCAGTTGGTAGGGGTACGAACAGCTAGAGAGGTAGTCGCAGGGAGTTAGAGACATGCACAGGGAAGTAGGTGCATACAGACAGGTAGAGACATGCGTAAGGAGTAGGTAGGGGCATACAGGGAGGTAGAGACATGCGTAGGGAAGTAGGTCCATATAGGGAGGTAGGAGTATGTGCAGGGAGGTAGAGACATGCACAAGGAAGTAGAGACATGTGAGGTAGAGGTAGAGACATGCGTAGGGAGGTAGGGAGGGAGGGAGGTAGAGACATGCGTAGGGATGTAGGTAGGCTGGGAGGTAGAGACATGCGTAGGGAGGTAGGAGCATACAGGGGGTAGAAATAACTGATTTCATCCAATGGGAAAGTAAGCCTTAAACTGCTGGACCAGTATAAACGAACAATATTCTACGGTTACAGTTACAGAATGCTCACACAGTGAAAAAACGTCACGGAAACAACAATAATTTTCTGATAAATTTCTGTGCTAATCTGCTATTAGAAACTGTACTACAACAACAACAACACCAGCGACATACTATTTCTGTTATAAATAATTTATTCGTCCTTGTACACCAACTGCAAGAGCAGGGGGGACTTTGCAGTCCATTTTTCTTTCTAGGTCGTGTGCTTTTAGACGCTTCGTTGATAAACAATTTCCTTCTCTGCGATAT